TCATTTGGAATTCATGTTGCATACTTCTAATAAAACCTTGAATAAGCGAGGAAGATGAACCAGTAATAACAATGTCATCAACATATAACAACAAGATGAGAGATCCCTGTGAGGAGTGCTTGATAAACAAGCTAGTGTCATGAGTAGTGGTGATAAAACCCTGGGCCGTCAAAAAAGATGTGAGACGTAAATACCATGCCCGAGGAGCTTGCTTAAGGCCATATAATGCCTTTATTAATTTGCAAACATGATGAGGATAACGTTGATCAATATACCCCGGAGGCTGATTCATATATACCTCGTCCTGTAACTCACCATGCAAAAAGGCATTAGAAACATCAAGTTGATGAAGAGGCCAGCGATAGTGCATCGCAATAGAGATCACAACGCGAATAGTTTGCTGTTTAACCACAGGACTAAAGGTCTCAGAGTAGTCGAGCCCATATTCCTGATCATAGCCCTTCGCCACAAGACGTGCTTTGTAGCGTGAAATGGATCCATCAGAGTTGCGTTTAATGCGGTAAACCCACTTGCATCCAATAGGAAACCGGTCTTGAGGAGGTGGAACTAATATCCAAGTACCCTGTCTCTGTAACGCCTCAAATTCATCATCCATAGCTTGACACCATTACCTGTTTTGGGAGGCTTGTTTGTACGAGGTAGGTTCTGTTTGGGGCGGTGTGTCATATGGAATGGTGGTGGAGTATATTTTGGGTTTAAAGATGCCACTCTTAGAACGAGTGATCATCGGATGTGAAGGGTTAGGCGGGTGGCGCAGGTTGGCCGTAGGTGATACGGTGGCAGTGGAGGTGGGGTTTTCAGGTGAGGGAGGATCAGGTGTAGGGGAAGGGCTGTGGAGAAGGGTTGCTGGCAGAGGTGATATGGGGTTGATGATAGACGTAGATGACATGGGGTTGGTGGTAGCCGTATGGTGAAGGGGTGTAAGAGCATCAGGAAGGTTGGGAATATGTTGAGCATGCAGAGGGTCGTGAGCAGGACTTTGGGACGAACGAGAGAAACCCAGAAAGAGAGGTAGGACACCAAAAAATTCAGTAGACGTGGGACGGATCGGATTAGTGACGGTTGATACAGGAGGAGATTTATATGGGAACTCTGATTCAAGAAAACGGACATGACGAGTGACATAGACACGATGAGTCTCAGGATCAAGGCAACGATAGCCCTTGGTGTGGGGCTCGTAGCCAACGAAAACACAAGGTTTAGAACGTGGCTGTAGTTTATGATTAACTTCATGACGAAGATGAGGATATGCAAGACAACCAAAAACACAAAGATACGAGTAGTCAGGACGATGACCATAAAGTTTTTCAAAGGGAGAGACATTGGCTAGGGATTTTTTGGGGAGGCGATTTATTAAAAAATTTGCAGTGGCAAGTGCCTCAGTCCAAAATATAACTGGTAAGTGAGCAGTGTGAAGAAGTGTTATTAAAGTTTCAATGAGATGACGATGTTTACGCTCTGCCACTCCATTTTGTTCTGGAGTGTAGGGGCATGTTTTTTGATGTAAAATGCCAAGGCGTTGGAGAAACAAACCAAATTTGTTATTTACATATTCACGACCATTATCAGTACGAAAAAGTTTTATAGTAGAACCAAACTAATTTTGGACCATGAATTGAAAACTTTGAAACGCTCCAAACGCATCAGATTTGTGTTTAAGAGGGTATAACCATGAAAATTTTGTAAAATCATCTATAAAACTAATATAGTAAGAGAAACCACTAAAAGAAGAGACAGCAGTTGGACCCCAAACATCAGAATGAATTAATTGGAAAGGAACAGTCGCAGCAGTATAAGATACAGAAAAAGGCAATTTATGTGACTTAGATACTAAGCAAGAATCGCAATGGGGTACATCAGAAAATGAAACACCTAAAAATGAAAGCAAACGCTTGGTAATGGACACAGATGGATGACCCAAACGACGATGCCAGTCTTGAGAGGTAAGAACGGCAGATCGTACGGACGGAGACGACTCAACATGAGGAGATGCTTGGTAATTGGAAGGTAACATATAAAGTCCCTGCTCACAGCGGCCTCTGTATCTCACCCTGTGGGTTTTGTTGTCCAGGATCTGAAATTCATTAGAGTTAATGAGAAGGGTGCAGTTGTTATCTTTAGTAAAACGGTGAACAGAAAGTAGGTGAGATGTAAGAGCGGGAACATGGAGAAGGTTACCAAGATGAAAGATTCCAGAGGCAGTGGGTATTTTACCTGATCCAACATGAGCTATGGGTAAGGGATGACCACCTGCACTAGTCAGAGAATCGGTGCCAGAGTATGGCCTATAAGAATAGAGACGAGACAGATCTGGTGTGACATGAGTATTAGCTCCAGTGTCCAAAAAACCAATTTCCATTAGAGCCAGTAGATTGAGACGCATAAAACGCTTGAGGCGATGGAGAGGGCGGTCCGCTAAACTCTGAATCAAAGCGATGCCAACAGTCCCAAGCAGCATGATTATATTTACCACAGATTTGGCAAATAATAGAGTCACGAGAAGTGCCTCGGCTGGACTGCCCACCTCGTCCAGTTTGGCCGCCACGCCCGCGGCTGAAGCCGCCTCGACTGGGCTGCCCTCCTCTGCCAGGGAAGCCACTACCACTACGTCCACGATGAGAACCACGGCCACGTCCACGTCCACCAGTTTGTGCATATAGGGCCGTGTGAGGATTAGTGGTGGCCGAACTATCACTAAGTTGAAGTTTTTGCTCCATTTGTAGATTATGTTCCTCGGCCAATAACCAAGAAGAAACTTGTGCAAAGGTAACATTTTCCATATTGGTTCTGATATTCTGTTTTATGGAAGCATACTCGGCCGGCAACCCTCGAAGAACACCCAATATCACATCATGTTCCGGAACGGCAGCCTTGGCCCGGTCTAAAGCAGCGACAATTTTGACGACAGAATCAAGGTATTTTTGCATAGAATCAGGCCCCTTCTGAACATTGTGAAGTTGCTCTTTTAATTGAAAAATATGTGTGCGAGAAAGAGAATTATACCGAAGCTGAAGATGCTCCCATATTGCCGCAGCAGTGTCAAGGCCATGAAGGTGATTTTGCACAGACGGGCTGATAATAGCAAGTAAACATGCACAGAGTTGGGCGTTGATAACGGACCAAACCTCAAACTCAGGGTTGATGTCCGTGCTGCCGGCGACGTCTAGAGTTTTTGGAGGGGCTGTGATCGTACCATCAACGTACCCGAGCAAGCGATGAGCGGACAAATTTGCTGAGGTTGTAGCAATCCACGACGGAAAATTTGTATCATCAAGCTTTTCCGGAGAAAGAGAGTGGAGATTTTTTATAAAAAGCTTCAACCCGGTGGGAAGAGCATCAAGAGGATCAATTGCTTTTGCCATGAGAGAAGGAGGAAGATGAGTGGCAGAGAGGAGGAAGTTGATCGGCAGAGAAAAGGAAGAAGATGAAAATGTTTTTGGCAGAGAAGATGATCAGCAGAGAAGTTGATCGGCTAGGGTTTTTTTTTTGTATAAAGCCTCAGCTCTGATACCATAATAGAAGAGCCAAATAAAGGAATTTACTCAAGTAAGAACGTATGGGTGGATACAATATATATAGATGGAGAGGGCTAGATAATTACACAAGAGCCCAAGAATATAATATAATTACATATTTTATCTAACAAGTTCAGCCCTCCCGTCGGCACGAGAACACAGCTGGCGCAGAATCCCCAGGACTAGCTCAGTTGCCTTCTTGTTGTCCGACGGGAGTTGACTCAGACCGAGCTCGATGAGCTCGTGAATCGCCCCGGACTTGACCAACCGGGCCAAGTTCGCGTGATCGTGGCAGGTGGCTAGCATGATGTGTAAAGCGGCTTCTAGTCCTTGTTGCGTGACTCTTTCGTTCTCCCTCACGAAATCCACGAATTTCGTCAAAATCTCGGGCGTTACTAGCCTCTTCAAAGCACTCGAGTTCATTTTCTGTACCACAAATTCCAGCACGCACAGCGCGTGGCTTTTCATGGCCACGCAGCTGTCCGAGCCGTCTAGGACCCACAAAAGTGAGTGGAACAAACACTCATCGTTCTCCACCGTGAATTGATCCGCGGATTCCCAAGAAAAACCTCGGATTAGGTAAAGAACAAAGAGGGCATTTTCTACTCCTCCTGCTAAAACCTTTTTCTTAGCTTGTCACAACATAATGTCCTGTAGTATGGGGTTTCCCCCTGTACCACAGGACATGTCATGGCAAGAATGCATGACAAGAGCTCCTTCACGACCCCGGCTTCGATCAACATCTTCATGTTGTCACCTACGTTCTCCATGGCCAACAACTCCATCTTCTTCGTCGCGCTAAGGCGGAGTCTAGGGTTTGAGAGATCTCGGACGAGGTGAATGGCCGCAACCCTACTTGAACGCGTGTTCGGACTCCGAACCACGCCACGGGACCCGCACCACGACTCGATGAGCCGGTCCAACATGTGGTTTGGAATCAAGTGCGAGTCCCGGGAAAGGGCAAATTGGTCACCGGGCACAACCTCTTGCCAACATCGAACAGCCATTTCTCGATGGAGTGGCGGTCGTAGGTTACGCCGGTGGCGGCAACGACGGGATCGCTCATGATGTCTAGAGAGATCGGGCAGATGAAGTGGTCGGGGATTTCTACATTGACATCCATGGATTGATTATTATAGGTTAAAATTAACTTGAAGATTAAAAATATAGGCAAGATTAACGTGTATATATACACATATTTGAAGAATCATTTTCAGGTGAAGTGTGACAGAAGAGTCAAAATTTTACCTGAATTGTTTAGTCGAATAAAAAATTGTGATTGTTCCGAAATGGAAAGTTTTACTGAGACTAAGCTACGTATTCTAGTCAATATGAATTTCATTCAAGTAAACCAAACGCGTGCTTTCGAAAAGTAAAAAAAAAACAATTTTCAAGTAACAAACATTTGGCCCAATAAGACTAGGCAATATGAGCACATTTACATCTTAACACATTTGGCCCAATAAGAATAAATCTCCAACTAAAATTCTTTGGCCCAACAAGTTCTTCTCTTTGCTCCAGCTTCATTCCATCCCCTTCCTTTCCAGTCTCCCTTCTCCGCCGGCCAAAGCTTTTCATTCTTTCATCTCCGATTTCCATTTAAACTTAAACTTCTTCCTCGTAAAACCTTACATCCGATCCCTTTTTGGAAGCCGTAGCAGATTTGAGGTCAGATTCGCGTTTTCCCTTTCAAATTCATTTTGATTTTGACATACCTCTTTGAAATCTGTGTTTTTTTCATTGTCTTGGGCGAAATCTAGTGTAGTAAATTAGTAATAAACATTTCTAATTTGATGTGGTTTGATAATTTTGCAACCAGGTGAAATGAAATTTTAACCTAATTTAATAGTCCTAATTTACTTCTGAGTTCAAAATGTATAGCACTTTGCGTTTTTGGGTATGATGAGGTGACATTTTTTTCATGAATGCGTGAGAGTGGAAAAATATAAGCAATTGGAAGAGTAAATGTTGCAACCCTGCATTCTGGCAAAGAATGGGCAATTATCGTATGTGTTCACATGTTAGTGTGCAACTGTGATCTTTACTCTCCACAGATTTTGGTTATGAACTTCTCCAAAAAAATTGTTTTTTACGGAGTATATCAATATTAACGTTTTAATCCACGTTTGTTAAATGACGGTGTGGGGAAATTGTTGAAAGTATATGTAGGATCCCTCAAAATCGGACAAGAAGACTGTAAGTACTCTCTTCTTTAAATGAGTTTGCTTATGTGTTGCTATTCAGTTGTTTTGGGAAATGGTGAGATTTCACAATGTCTTCTGGTTGGGTTGAAGAAATGAATTTAGCGGTGTTCTGGATTATTATTTTTTGTACGCCTTGACAGCGGTGAACTTTTTCAGTTAGAAAAGGAATTGTATTCCACCATAAACTTATATGACAGTTTTTAGTAACATACCCGGAGTATGCTAGAACCTAAAAACCAAAGATATTGAGAAACTTAAATCACAGGAAAAACATTTAAAAAGGTCATTAGCCACTATCTAAAAAAGTAATCAAAGTAATCACAATAAGCTAAAACAATAGGTAAATAAGTGTAAATGTTCAAATATCAAAAGGAAATTCGATTTTAAAAGTTATGGTCTGTTAGTTAAGAGATTGGTGCTTTTGGTTTGATCTCATCTAATGTCAAAGAAATTGATCAAAGTTATAAACATATGTAAAGATGACATTGTTTTTTAGCAACCAGCATGGCGCTTTACTCGAGAGCCTACCCTTGTTTTTTGTTACTGTTTCTTCAGTCTATTTTGGCAGGAAAATAGCAATAGCATGAAGCTTTTCATATTAGCCATTACTTGATTCAAAGTTGAATTCATGTGAATACTTCCTTTTTACCACTGGATAGCACTTATTTCGGTATTTTCAAGGATTAAACATAGGGTATAGAGGCACTCCTACGGGCTAATAAAATTATTCTTTTGGGAGACAGAGTTGGTAGTATATTTTCTTCTGATCATCTAATTTTTAGTGAACATATCAATCTTTGGACCGGAAATACTATTTTCATATCTAACCCTCTTTCTGCCCCTAGTATAAGCTGGTCGTTCTTTTTAGGGTGCGATATTCTCCTGTCATTTGGATTTTGGACAAATTAAGGTTTTTTTATTACTTGCAGTCGTATTGGAGTGAAGGAAGAGAGGAAGCAGAGTAGCAGTTAAGATGCCACTCTATGACTGCATGCTTTTGTTGAAACCCCAAATAGCTAAGGAGGCGGTGCTGGACTTGGTTGTCAAGGTGAGCAAGCACGTCTATGGCAGAAATGGAGTCCTCACAGATATAAAATCTTTTGGAACAGTGCAGCTTGGCTATGGCATTAAGAAACTTGATGGGAAGTATTTTCAGGTGTGTTTCCGAAGAATTTGAGCTTAAAAAAAGTTGCGACACACACCCTCCCTAAACCTTAATGTCCCAAGATTCCACTGTGTTTTTTGTTACAAGTACTTGTTGTTCCCACAATATAGGGGCAGATGATGCAAATGACGATGATGACCCCACCAAACTTCAACAAGGAGCTACACTACCTGAACAAGGAAGACCGTTTGCTTCGCTGGATGTTGGTTAAGAACCGTGGGGACTTTAGCTCCCTCCGGTTTGACTCGTATGACCAAAAGAAATCACTCCCATCAGGCATTGTGTTGAGTGACTTGAAGGGCGATGAAAATGAAGATAGCAGCGACGAAGAAGAGGATGATGAGGGCACAAATGACTACAAAAACGATTCCCCCCTGTTTAGATTTGGATTAAACTAATCGCTCTATGGGCGCGATAATTGCGTATTTAAATTTTCAAAAGGATGCTCCAAGTCCATTGCTTGAACTTAGGAAACTCTCTGGATTTTGATTTGTGGTCTGGTATTGGTTTGTTGATGCAAATCACTGTTTTGGCAGTGCTTGCCAATGTAGCTTCTATGGATCCTTTGTAACATAAAGATTCCCCTTGTGGTTTGGAATTTGATGTGTAGTTCTGTGAAGTTACTTAAACACCCTTATTAAATTACCCTTTTATAGATAGATAGTCTTACACTTTGTGTTTCTTGTGAAGCCAATGTATGGCCTTTGAGATATTACACTAGTAAAGAGAAAAATGAGATTTACAAGAATACTTCAAGAGTACATAATTATCATTAGCACTCTTAAATATCTTTATACCTAAAATTACATATTGATCACTGATATATCTTAAAAGTTGAGGGTTCATTTAAAGTAAAAATATTGATTATTTTTAGAGTGCTAGTGATAATTATATAATCTTGAAATATTCTTGTGAACTCTTAAATTTTTGGGAATGTAGACAAAAACTTTATTTGATGAAAAAAGAAAAGAAATAAAAACTAACCAAAGAGTCCTCATCATAGAAGCAATATCCTTTTAGGACAAAAGTTTTCAACAACAAACATTATTCCCATGCAGCTTATATATACCCAAATAAGGTTCACTTTCTTTTTAGTTGATCAATCACCATCCAAGTAACAAAAATAACAAGTAGTCCCCCCCTGAGATAGTAATAATTTCTTTGAATATTATTAATCTGATCCACTTGATGCAGAGAAATAAGAAACAGCACCCAAAATTAACATTATTTTCTATACAGCCCCACAATCCTTATAAGGTCTTTTTTTTTCCCCCCATATTCAATACAACAATCAAACTATACAACCCTCAAATCATATATTTGTCTAAATGCCTATAAACTATCTATATGAAACTATAATGGTGGTTCTTCTGCAAAGTGTATAAAGTTTTCTTTTTCTTTTTCCTTTTTTTTTGAAAGTCTTTACACCATCATCATCATCATCATTATCATCAAGAACCTCTTGCTTCCATAGCAATTGTTGATGGCATCAAGCAACAAAGTCCGGCAACAATGGCGCAGCAAACCTCTTCCGGTCCTCAATGTTGTAACCCATTGGAGTATCCATACTGCTGAACTGATTGTTCGGTTCTCCCATTTCTACCCCTCTCCCCATATGCATTTCTTGGGTGTGGATGAACCCCTGGTGTGCCAGGTTTTCGCTGTGTGGAAGACCAAGTGTTAGGGAAACCGCATTGCCCGAATATGACCCGATTTGCCCAATCGGGTACGACCCGAACCCGCCAATGAAGTTTGCTGGTGCTCCTCCCATCAATGTGAAATCCATTGAAGCAGCAGAATCCGGGCATTCTACTCTACGGGCCTTCTTCGGGCTGAAACTGGGCTGGTTTTGAACACTGGGAGAAGTAGTAGATATAGTGGATTGTTGGTTTTGGGTAAAACTGCTGTTTTCTTGATGATGATCTGAGCAGCCTGCAGCAGAAGCTTCATTTGGTTCTCCTGTTTGGTTCTCTGTTCCATTGTTGTTTTGTTGTTCTTGTTCCTTTGTCTCTTCCAAATACATCTCCTCCACCATTGGCTTCCACAGTCGAACCCGGGCATTGATGAACCAGTTAGATACCTGGTTCCTGGTAAGACCTGTCTGCTTTGCCAGCATGATTTTGTCTGAATCCTTTGGGTAGCTGCACACAAACCCAATTGTTTTATTATGGAAAACTCCAAGTCTCATTATAGTTGAACTAGATAATCGATTCGTTTGGCCCAAACCTCTTATGGCTTAGTACCCAATTCTAAAGTCAATCATAACACATTAATACAAAAACACCACCAACAAACTCAGTGAAATCCCACAAAAGAACAAAAGGTTTGAAATGCTTACGGATGGAGAAAGTGCTCGAAGAGCCAAGCGCGAAGCACAGAAACAGAACGCTCGGGCAATCCTCTCTGAGGCCTCCAAGCATTCCCATTATGTTGGAACATTCCCAGCTGCTGCAAAGCCCTCTGTTGCCTGAGATGGTTATCAACAAATCTAAGCCTGCTGGATGAGGATGAAGGTGATGAACCCTCAATCTTCCCTCCCAGCCCTTCTATTTCCTCTCCTAAGCTCTTGCCCGCGGCTCGTATCTGCCCCAAGATTGCATCTTTAAGGCACCTGAATTGCTTTGAGATCGTCTGTAATGCCAAAGACGTGTATGTTCTAGAAGAACCCACACCCGCCGCCTGTTCAAACCATGCTATCACCACCTGCATCTGGTGGTGGTATTGTCTGTACCTCTGCTCCACCTATGTTTTTTTTTTTCAAGATTGGTTCAAGAAAACAATAAAGATTGGATTTTTAGTCAAAGAATGATGAGAAAATGTGGATAGAAACACAAAAGAAGCATCTTTTTTTAGATGTGAAAGGTACTGGTAACACATTCTTAGTCTGATGAGAGTCTTTAAAGGTTTTGAAAAGAACACTTTGAGACAGAAAGTTGATCAGAAACATCTGATGCAAAAACTTTTGCTGATGTAGACCTTTGTTCCTCTCATCTCTCCCATGTTCTTGGAGAAAACTATGTGTGCAAGTCTTTTTGACCCATTTCAGAAGAAAGCTTCTATTTACTCCATTAGTTTGACAAATTTAATGTAATTGATGATTATAATTCGTCTAAGTTTGATTCGAAAAAGTCTTACTAGTTAGTATTCACAAGCTTTGATTTCTTCATTTGAATTTCTTGTTTCAAAAATTGATGAAATGAAAAATTTAATTATACTCTATTTTTTTAAAAGTAAGACCAATACCTCATCGAGCATGTTCACAAGCTTTGATTTCTTCATTTGGATTTCCTGTCTCTCGGCGGTGGTTAGCTCGGCGGCGCGTTTGCCACCACTCTGCCCTCCGGTTTGTACATCGGCGGCGGCAGCTCCGGGATTCTTGGAAACCTCCTTGGATCCTTTGAATGGTTCGGTGCCACTCTTCATGCCCCTGCCGACATTGACCACCTCGTCAAGAAGTTCTTGAGCTGCGTTCAAGAATTTAGAATTCAAGAGCACGTTTTGGTGGACCCCACCATTCACGGCGTCGGAGACCGACGACGGCGATCCGCCGGGAACTCTCCCCTCGTCTCCAGCTGCTGCCGACGACGGTACGGCCATAGCCATATGCTCCGTCCCCGCCTCCGGTTTCGGCCGGAAATTCCCGAACCCGGTCTGCTGAGAGGATAGGCTCAAAGACAGCCCCTGCTGTGAGCGCGTTACCTCACGCGCCGCCGCAAGCTCGACCGGCGCGCCGTAAAGGCTATACTGCGGCCGCCCGAGGAAGCCGTGGAAGGCGGAGAAGTCGTGCGCGGAGGAAACGTGGACCTCAGTCGACGCCGAGGCGGCGGCGGCGGAGTTACTACCAAAAGGGTGCGCCACATACTGCGGCGCGTGGGAAAACCCCATCGAGCTCCCGTGGGAGTTGAGGAAGGCGAAGTTGCTCCCCGGAGGCTGCTGCTGTGCCGCCGACGGCGCGTCGGAGAACCCAACAAATCCGCCGCCAGTATTCATGAGTATAAGTGTCTGTAAGCCATCACCGCCGCCCCCGCCGCCGTGGATATCAGAATTCCCATGAAAATACGTACCCATCTCTCTCTTTCAACAATGGACTGAAACCTCGTTTGGTATTATTTGATAAATCTGACAAATAACCACCAAATTACACTACTGTTAGCTTCCTCTTACATTAATTAAACAAAAATTACAGAACGCATTAAACCTTAATCATCTACTTTTAAAAAACTAACCATTAAAAATAAATTAATGTAGACTACAAACACATACATACACACATAGACTTGGTTGGTGAAGTAAAAGAACATGTGGTTAAAGAAAAATAAAAAAAAAGGCAAGGAACTGTTTGGGTATTGACTTGGAGGAGAGGGTCTTCTTTAATTCTTATCTTATCGCTTAAACACTCGAAAATTCAAAACCAATCATTACATAAAAATAAAAATGAAAAATTATATTTCCCCCCAAACACAAAGAGTGTGCAAAAGATAATATCTGTTTGATTTCTGACAATTGCACTGAAAGACAACTATGAACGATTGAACGTACGACCTGTTCTGAAGCAATTACGCTAAACATAAACATAAAGCATCTGCAAGCGTCACTTGCACGTTCTTGTTTTTATCACTAATTTGTGATTAAAATTTAATTTATCTTTCCTCTCTACATAATTCAATGGGTTAAATTTTTCAATAATCTAAATATCAGATTTAAGCATGCTAATCTTGTATCCTAAATCTCTATTCTTGAGTTATAAGGAGTTGAAGAATTAGCTAAGAAATACTAATCTTTTCTTTTTCATAAAACAAAAAACAATCGACAGCAACCCAACAATCAAGATCATCATCAATTAACAATTGAAATTCTCTTGAGACAGAGATAGAGAGAGAAAGAAAAGAAGAGAGAGAGAGAAAAAAAACATACCCCTCTCCCATGTCTGTCAAATGAAGCTAAGAAACCTGGATGTATCTATATGTGTGTCTATATATATAGCATATATTTATACGTATAAGGTGTCTCAATCAATTCCTCTGTGATGACTGATGATATGCAACAAAGTCTCAATTGAATTTCCTTATGCTGATAATGGCTGAAGGAAAAGGGAAAGATGCTAAGACATGTAAAGAGTGATGATGATGAGAAAGGGCTTAAAAGTTGAAGAAATAAAGACACCTTTCTTTATTCACCATATAGTACACTACAGTGTATGTGTGTGTCCACTCATTGAGTCATTTCTCATTTTCAAAATATAAAAAAAATTAGAATTCTAAAATGAATAATTTTTATTCCAAGAAACTCTTTTCGTCTCAATTTTAATTACAAATCGGAAGTTACGAGACAAAATCTTACGTTATTTTATCTACAAATTGATACATCACTGAAAATAAAAATTATATATTAAAAACTTATGTCAAAAGATTTTAAAAAACAAATATGTGACAAGAATATTTTATTTTATCAAATAATCAATAAAAACACTCACATAAACAAAAGTTATCGTGAGGTGAGAAAAAAATTACAATCAATTTCAAGATGAAGAAAGTATTTTATTTAAATAATACAAATTATGATTTTCAATTTAATTAATGCTCCCTTCGTCTTTAAATATATCTCACATTTGTTTTTTCAGCAGTTGCGAGAACTTTTATTTATTTCTACGTTTTCA